ATAATAATATATAAAAAATAACACAAATAATAAGAATAAGATGATTAAAAAGAAGAATAAGTACCATTTATCAAAAATGAAAATAATAAGAATAAGATGATTAAAAAGAAGAATAAGTACCATTTATCAAAAATGAAAATAATAAGAATAAATTTAATTGGTAATGCACTTTCCATTAGCAAAAATGTTGCAGTGCACAGTGAATCCTATTTATGATTATTATGAAAATTGCTTGACATCGTTTGAAAGAGGAAACCTTTAACCATATTTAAATATCAGAATTTCCCAGCTGGTAATTGGCACGCAGGGAAAGTAGCAATAAGTTTGGGCTTTTCTGCTCAAAATCATGTTAATGTTAGTTCTAACAATTCTTTAAGATGATACTTCAGGTATTTCTTTGAAGACACCCATAGTTTCACAGTTTGTCACATCAAGTATTTAAAACAGCCAACAGACCTCAGTGGATCCAGGGTCCACGACCTGTTTGACGATGTGGATGTCCAGCACATGGCCTTCGACAGGAACTGGATTTTTCAGGTAATCTTCCACAAAGCTGCAGCACGACTGCCTGTCTTTGAAAAACACAAAAGCCTGGACGTAAAGAGAAACAGGTCAGTATATCAGTAGCAGATGAGCTGGTTTTAACCTGCAGCAGGAGCTCCTTACCCTCCTCTGCAGAGGAAGAACCAGCACGTTGTAGTAAAGACACTGAAGGTTCTGTTTGGGGAGATACTGCCACACCAGCTTCACCACGTCCTTGTGTTTGTAGTTTCCGCTTGGCAAACCCGTCAGCATGACCATGGGGTGCTTCGTTTCCATAAAGTATCTCTGCAGAAGGCAAGGTTCAATAGAAACTTTATTTGAAACTGAAAGAGTGAGCACTGCTTACAAATCATAACAAGAAAAGATGTAATAAATAAATAAATAAATAAATAAACTCACCCAATTCTGACACTTCAACTCGGCTGTCACAAAATCTGAAAGTGAAACATAAGAAGTATTTTGTTGAGTATTTCCTATAAAACATAAAATATTTGACAGTTGTATTACTTTTTATTATTTGTTTTACTTGGGATGATGAACCAAGGAGATACGGTTGGGAAGACGAAAGGATATGTCGTCAAGGTGACTGAAAATGGTGGCTTGCTGCCTTTGGGAACCCCACAGTTTGTCGTTGGGACTACCGCCCCGGTGACCAAATCTTTGGCGTCTGGCAAAGCTTTCGCTGCGAGCCGAGGAGCTGCAAAAAAAAAAAAAAAAAAAAAAAAAAAAAAAAAAAAAAAACATCAACTAGATACAGCTTTTCATACTTATACAACAATAAAATAAAAATCTGAAGCTTCTATGTAGAATAGTTTTTGAGTTATAAGCATTTCTGCATGTCCAGACACCCCCTTTTCAGATAGAGCCCCCTCCTCTAATATGGGGTCTATTGTAAAACTGGCTGACACAGTGTAGGTCAGACACATCTAGTCCTGCCAAATTTCACATTGATCGGTGCAGCTGTTTCCGTGCTATGGTTGACCAAAAATCTTGAAAAATTAAAGAAAATAAATAAATTTAAACTACGAAACCAGCGCTCCAACAGCCTGACAGAAAAAAATTAAAGCATACAGCTGCTCACATGATAGCTAGTTTAAATCAGGAATAAAAGTAGTTTACCTGTATAAAGAGCCCTAAAAATCCATAAATTTAGCAAAAAGTCCATACAACTCACACCCACCGGGGGGGGGGTCAGCAGCGGACATGAAAGCGCCTGCTGCGAAGCAGGAGGAAAGGAGAGTGGACAAAGTAACTTATTTCTAGGGCAGAACAGGTTGGAAGATGGCTGTTTGATGTTATTTATTGTTTTTTAAATCATCCTCTAGGCTCCGACATGTTAGATAATTTTGAAAATGAGGTTTTTAAAATATCCGTAAGACTTGGAAAAAATCTGTGAGATTGCTCTATACGTCCGTATACCTGCAAAATGATGT